AAACCTTCAGCAGCTGACCTGGGGCCTAGGAAGGTTCTTTACTCTCTTTAGATGCTTATAAACATATTTGTGGTGCTCTTGGTACTCTCTCTATCAACATCCTGCAGACGATTCTTGGGTTTATTCATCTCTCACTGCTGCTTCCTTAGTTGGTAAGAGAAAATTGTTTCCACTTGCTTCCATACTTGAGATCTTAAAATTTTATTTGGTATGATATTGCTTTTGTTTTGTATTGGATCTGAATATTTGGTTCTAATTCTAGGTTTTTTTTACTAGTAACCGTATTTTTTGATGTGGCATTTATGATGAACGAAATGTAAGAGCTCTCTATCATTGTTCTCCAAGTGGTGGATGACTTTTTTTATTAATTAACACACTCTGACACTGTATGATGTCCTTAAGTATGGTCTTTCGTGTCTGTGTAGGCTCAGAAGCTCGTTGTGGCTTCAATTCAAACCAAAACAGATTGCTGCTGGTGCTGCATATCTTGCTGCCAAGTTCTTGAATATGAATATGTCTTCTAATCACACAATCTGGCATGCGTTCCAAACCCCACCGCCTGTACTTCGAGGTATGTTCTGCTCTTTTACTCTCTAGCAGTGATGATTATGCCCCTCTTATACCCTTAAAATGTAATCCATTTTAAGCAATATACATATAGTATTAGGAATAGGAAACACAGCAACAACAACAACCCAGTAAAATTTTACGAAAAGTAGGGTCCGAGGAGGGTGTGTGCACGCAAACCTTGCCCCTACTCAGAAGTAGAGATGCTAGCTTCCACCTGATGCTAGAAACAGTAAACATAAGACTGAAATGTTTCTTAACGAGCATTAGTTGCGCAAAAGGTTTCCTTAACCTATCTTTGCTTAAGGACATAATTAGAGGGAAACATTTGTGAGAACTGAGAAGAGAAAAAACAGTAGAGAAACATGGTAGTTTTTGTGGGTTGTTTGGTAGGACAAAAATGAGGAAGAGCAAGGTAGATTTGGGAGGAGATTCATTCATCTCCTATCTCTACATAAGAGAAGAAATAATAGGTAATGCACATCATTTTCTTCTTACTCACAATTCTTTTTTCATCAAACAAAACAAATTCTCCATGTCTCTCATATATACGACCCTGTTTGGTAATATGGTTGTTTTGCTCACCCCTTCCTAAATTCTTACACTGATTAGCCATGAAGGGAAAAAGTTACCTTGTTTTTTTGGGTGGAAATATCTGAAATGTAGATAACTGACAGTTCCACATTTTACTTAAAAAATACTCCGGGGTATTAAAAATATACTCCCCAGTCTTGTAAAAAACAGAAAACATTTCATTATCAATTTCAGTCCATTCGCCAATTTAAGCCAAATTGATGATTTCAACCAAACCCGCTTCTCATTTCACTCATTTTGTTGAATGTCGGTTTGACCAGACATTTACGAGTCGGTTTGTTATGCAGATGTTGCCCAACAGCTGATGGAGCTCTTTTAGGGTGCTGGAAAAGAGGGATTAAAGTGACTAGAGATACTATATTTCCCAATCCCGATCTTCCCATGGCTCTTAAAGATCACAGCAGTTTTTATAGTCTCGACCTCAGCCGTGCGCCGGTTGTGCGTTGAATTGTTGTGTATAGTGTAAAAATGAATGAAATGTGTGCGCGGAAGAAATCGTCTTTACGCGCTCTCGTGTGGTTCTTACGTAAGTTGGAGTCTTGAGTATATGAAAAGCCTTTTACAGAAGCTGTTGTAAAAATTTGAATTCGTGCCCCATATTTCAAATGAGGAAGCAGTGAAATGCGTTATAAGATGAAAGTTGAAACATTCAGAGAAGTGAGATGCGTTTTTATTTTAATCAATTAAATTGTGAATAATGTTTTAGATAAAAAAAATTACAAGAGTAGAAAATTGTGAAGTTTAAATTTTGTTGTCGAAATTATATTTGTTGGATAGGTTTCGAAAAAAAAATTAACCGGAAAGGGGGTGATATTTTCTAGAAAGATTTTGATTCTATTTACAATACAAATTGAGGAAAGTATGCATTCTCTTTCCGCTCTATCCCCACACACGCCCCCCTCGAACTTCCGTCTACCTCATGCCTTTTTTTAACTTTTCACATTCAAATATAAGATTAAATTTTAGATTCTAGATTATAAAATTTAAATTTAAAAATTGAGTTTAACATTTTAAAACTTAAAAATTAAAACTTGAAATTTGAAATTAAAATGTAAATTTTAAAAATTTTAAATTCTATATTTTTATTTTCAATGTTTAAAATTTAAAATTTAAATTTCAGATTTTATATTTGATTGTTTAAAAATTATATTTTAAATTTTATATTTTTAGTTGTTCATTTTAAATTTTAATTTTAAATTTTAATTTTAAATTATAAATTTAAATTTAAATTTTAAATTTTAAATACTACTTCCTCCGTCCCAAATTATAATGCATGTTCACTATTCAAATGGTCAAACTTTATTCACTTTCTTTTTCAATTTTCGTTAGCAATTTGATAAAATAAAGTACTATTGTCACTACTAGTTTTGTAGATCTTTTGATGTAATATTTTAATATATAATTTTTTTTAATTATATACCATTTGTCATATAAAATGATATGAAAATAATTACAGTCAAACATCGTAAACCGAAACAGGCGTTATAAAATGGGACGGAGGGAGTAATTTAAAATTTTTAAATTTTAAGTTTTAAACTTTAAATTCTTAATTTAAAATTCAGGATTTTAATTTTTTTTAAACATGAATTTTAATTTTTAAATTCTAAATATTAATTTTTAAATTTTAAGTAGTAAATTTTTTATTCTTAGTTTCTAAATTTGAATTTTTAGTTTTAGTTTCTAAATTTTAAACTTACTAAAAAGGGAAGTGCTTTGGGGAAACGAAAGAAGTGAAACAAGAACTCTTTTAGAAAAGGGATGGAGTGCTAGAAAAAATTATTTTTTTGAGAAAATATTTTTCTTCCTATGAAACAACGGAAATTATGATTAGAAAATAAATTTCCTTGAAAATTATTTTTCTTTGGAAAATATTCATCAAAGAAAATATTTTACACCCAATTAAACGCAACCTAAGACTCGAATGGTCAGATAGTAAATTGGAGAAATAAATGTTAAAAATAAAAGTTTCATAAAAAAAATTCATTGGAGACCTAAGTTGGGTATGTTTAAACAAGTAGGCCTATAGCGTATGTTTATCCATAGGTCCAAGCAGAAGCAATGGCTAGCTTTAAAAGTTATTGATAAACTTTGATTAAATTTATTTTCAAAGTAATTTATTTAAAAATTACTTTTGATTTAAAAAATAAAATTTGTATATCAAAATATTACATCAAAAGATGTACAAAATAAAATGTGACAAAAATATATCATTTTATTGGATAAAACCTGATTAATGGTTGACAATATAAATAGTAAACATACAATTTAAGTTGAGACGGAGAAAATAAAAATTAAACTTGCACTCTTAATTTATTAAGCATAATGTATTTAATGTTTAGATTATAGACCTTGTTTTGTAACAATGTAATGTTTTAATATTAATTAAATGATTTAAATAATTTTTAATTACATAGACTAGTTTGAAAATATTTATATAATTATTTAATGATACATATATATTACTACCTTCGTCCCATTTTATAACGTCTGTTTCGGTTTACGATGTTTGACTGAAATTATTTTCAAACCATTTTATATGACAAATGGTATAGAATTAAAAAATAAAAATTACATATTAAAAAATTACATCAAAAGATCTACAAAAGTAGTAGTGACAATAATATTTTATTTTATCAAATTGCTAACGAAAATAGATAAAGAAAGTGAATAAAGTTTGACCATGTGAATCGTAAACAAGCATTATAATTTGGGACGGATGGAGTACAAATTAGCTTCAGAAGCATTAAAATTATATGCTATCATTAAAGAATACGTAGTATAATCTGTTTAAAAAGTCTCGAAGCTATTGTCAAATATGATCGCATTTACACTTTCTTTACATTTTTGTAGTAAAAAATAATAAATTTAACCATTAAATAAATAAAATTGATATTAGATAGTGATATAAAAATATATATTTTAGATTTATTTTTAAAATATTATTTATTTAATCAAAATATCATATAATATTTGTTTAATTAGAGGTGAAAAATTAATCATGATTAACTGCAAAAAATTAAAACATGACATATTACTAAGGTGTGTGGATATGAGTATAAATTTTCAAATAAAAACCAGACCGGATAAGCGAGCATTAAATTTGCAAATCTCCCAAAAAAGGAAAGAAGAAAATATAATTTTAATTACTCTAATTTTTTCTCAAGGATAATGACCAATAACCTGTTGTAATTAAACAAGGAAACAACAAACCGATAAATACTGACTCTCTCACATTTGGATAAATAATAAAACCATTCCTTATCCAATTTCCCCACATAATAAGGAGTCAAACTTGGATCTAAACTCCATATACGCATTATTTATTTGCTAACAATTAGGAAACTAAACTAATAAAAATAAAAATAAAAAACTTTAGAAATTAATTAATTATTACTATTACACACTATAAATATAATACTCACGTTTTGATCTAATTTCCCTTTACCATCGTCTCCTTCTTTTCCCTTCCTTAGCTTGTGAAATTAGATTATTATTAATCAAATCTTGAGATTAGAATTTAAATTTCTTTTGATTTAAAAGATAATTATGGCATCATCTCCTCTGGGTAATGACCATTATGAGTCGAAAATCACATTCTATGTTCTTTGTTGCTGGATCCTTGCTGCTTTTGGTGGTCTCATGTTTGGCTATGATATTGGAATTTCTGGTAATTAATTAATTAATTAATTTTTTTGTGTGATTTTAGTGTAGTCTACTTTGATTGTCAGTCATTAATGTACACATGTTGGTTTGTGTATGTTTAATAACAATTATTTACTATTCACACGATCAGAGTTTGAGTTTTTAATTTATTACGCAGTACGATTTTTAATGTTTTAATAAGCGTTTTGCATCGACAATTATTTGTTCATATTCATCAAGAATTGAATAATTATATTTTGATATTTTATTAAACTTTTGAATTTTGATGTTTCGTGAGCTAAATTTGAAGAGAGATTTTCTTTTGAGAGAGATTTTATGCATATGGCATATTTTGATCTTCTATCAAATCGTAAAACATATATTGTCCAATATGCTGTCTCCATCTCTAATTTTTATCTATTATTCATACGATCAGACTTTGATTTTTTACTAAGTAGTACAATTTTTATGGATTACTACCCGTCCTTGAGTATTTGTACAGTTTTCACTTTTTTGGTCAATCATTTTCAACACTTAACCTATAATAAAATGATATATATATATATATATATATATATATATATATATATATATATATATATATATATAGTGTATTAATTATATAAAATAATATTTTGAAAAATACTTGATATAATAAATCTAATAAAACTATTTCTGTATCAATATCTAATATCAAAATACTTGAAATTACTAATGCAGTCTCTTGTTTTTATAATTTTTTTTTGCTATATTATATTGACTTAAATTATTTAATGACATGCATGATTTAATTTGCTTGAATATAATAAATAAATAAATGATTATTGTGCAGGGGGAGTGACGGCAATGGACGATTTCCTGGTGAAATTCTTCCCGGGAGTATACGCGCGTAAGCAGCACGCGAGAGAGAACAATTACTGCAAATACAACAACCAGTTGCTCCAGCTCTTCACCTCCTCCCTCTACATCGCCGCCCTCTTCGCCAGCTTCTGCGCCTCCAAGGCCTGCACCCTGCTCGGCCGCCGCCCCACCATCTTCGCCGCCTCCGTCCTCTTCATCATCGGCGCCGCCTTGAGCGCCTTCGCCGAGCACAAGTGGACCCTCATCCTCGGCCGCATCTTCTTCGGCTTCGGCNCCGGGAGTATACGCGCGTAAGCAGCACGCGAGAGAGAACAATTACTGCAAATACAACAACCAGTTGCTCCAGCTCTTCACCTCCTCCCTCTACATCGCCGCCCTCTTCGCCAGCTTCTGCGCCTCCAAGGCCTGCACCCTGCTCGGCCGCCGCCCCACCATCTTCGCCGCCTCCGTCCTCTTCATCATCGGCGCCGCCTTGAGCGCCTTCGCCGAGCACAAGTGGACCCTCATCCTCGGCCGCATCTTCTTCGGCTTCGGCGTCGGTTTCGGAAACGAGGTTCGAGTTCCTTCCCTCATTACCTCCCCGCCCCTTAGCTTTTCGCCAGTGTTTTGAATAAAATTTTAAGAAATAAATCAAAATAAAAAGAAACATAGCCATTTATCTCACAAATAGGAGTAGTTACTAATAACTTGTTTTTATCCCGAAACTTAGACTATTATACTGTGACACTGTGACGTTGTATAATGACATTATATTCCACAGTATTTTACGAGATTACTCCCTCCGTCTCACAAAAATATTCTCGTTTGATTTTTAAAGAATTTAAAGGAAGTATATTTTAATATTGACTTTCGAAAAATGCCATGAGATATGATGGGTAAAAAAGTAGATGTGATAGATAGATTAATAATGAAAAAGTATAGTATGATAGGTAGGTTAAGAATTAGTAGAGATAAAAAGTGACTTTTTAATATAAATGAGAAATGTTTTTTTGGGACAGAAGAAAAAAGAAAAGAGAAAAGTTTTAAGCGAGGAAGGAAGTATATGTTGATAATATAGACCCTATTTCTGAGATAAAAAATATGAAGGTCTTGTTTTAATTTGATTCTTTTTTTATGTTTTACTTATACTCCGTATTTTGGTTGTTTTCCTTAAATTTTAAACGATTCACGAATTCGAAAGGAAAAAGAAAAAAATGATATGAAAAACTCATATTTCATGTTTGGTTAGAGTAAAAAAAAGAAAAGTGAATGATAAATCAAAATAAGCTGAAATGCTAATGCATTGATTTTTTTGGGTGAGAAAAATTGGGAAAATTATTTTCTATTTCTTTCCCAATTCCTTTGAATCAAATGTAGTAAAACAAAACATTGTTTCGTTAAATATAGTTTATACTCCCTCCGTACCTAAATAAATTTTTCTTTTTGACTTTTTGAAGATTTAAGGGAGTGATATTTTTGTGTTGACTTTCCAAAAATATCCTTGATGTGATTGTAAAAATAAGATATGATATGTAGATTATTAGTAAAAAGGTATGATGTGATAGCCTAATAGGTAGGGTATGAAAAAGTAAGGGCCTCTTTGTTTCAGCCTCTTAATGGTTCAGATGTCTGAATGGTTCAGCACTTAATGGTTCAGACTGTTTGTTTCAGACTCTTAATGGTTCAGATGTCTGAATGGTTAAGAAATTTGCCTCTGAATGGTTAAGTATTATACAGAGTCTGAATGGTTATGACCTCTTATCTGAATTGATCAGACATTTGCCTCTGAATAGTTAAACAATATACTAGCTATTAATGGTTTAGAATTCTTACTGGTTTAACACTTAATGGTTCAGACCTCTTACTCGTTCACCACTTACTTATTCAGAAGTTGCCAAACAGCCACTAAGGGGTAAAAGAGGTTTTTAAGGAAAAAAAGAGGTTTATTTAGGGACGGAGGAAGTATTTGGTAATATGCTAATTGTAATTACCTTATCCACACAGACTGTGCCGTTGTTTTTGACGGAGGTGGCGCCGGCGCAGCACAGAGGGGCGGTGAACATCCTGTTCCAGCTGTTCGTGACGGTGGGGATCCTGATAGCCAACCTCGTAAACTACGTCACGGCGGCGATCCACTCCAACGGGTGGAGGGTCTCCCTCGGGGTGGCGGCGGTCCCGGCGGCGGTCCTCTGCCTCGGGTCGCTCTTCATGATCAGCGAGACTCCGGCGAGCCTGATCGAGAGGGAGAAGCTGGAGGAGGCGAAGGAGACGCTAAAGAAGATCCGGGGGGTGGACGCCGTGGACAGGGAGTTCGAGGCGATCGTGGCCGGCTGCGAGATGGCCCGGCAGGCGAAGAAGCCGTTCAAGAAACTGATGAAGCGGGCGAGCATGCCGCCGCTGATCATCGCCGTCGCCATGCAGGTCTTCCAGCAGCTGACCGGAATCAACGCCATCATGTTCTACGCGCCGGTGCTCTTCCAGACCATGGGGTTCAGGACCGACGGGTCGCTGCTCTCCTCCGTCATCACCGGGCTGGTCAACGTCATCAGCACCTTCGTCTCCATTTACTCCGTCGATAGGGTCGGCCGGAGAAAGCTCCTCCTCCAGGCCTGCTGCCAGATGCTCATTTCTCAGGTACCGTGCATGCATGCACTTTTATATATATATATATATATATATATATATATATATATATATATATATATATATATATATATAAAGTCAAACTAAACGAATATTACTTGTTCTCAACAAAGTTAATGAATATTACAGATGGCGATCGGAGGGATCCTGGTGACGCACCTGACGGCGACGGGGTCGCTGAACAAGGGGCTGGCGGTGATAGTGGTGATCCTGGTGTGCACGTACGTGATGGCGTTTGCGTGGTCGTGGGGCCCGCTCGGGTGGCTGATCCCGAGCGAGACGTTCCCGATGGAGACGAGGACGGCGGGGTTTGCGTTTGCGGTGAGCGCGAACATGCTCTTCACGTTCCTCATCGCGCAGGCGTTCCTGTCGATGCTCTGCGCGATGCGGGCGTACATATTCTTCTTCTTCTCGGCGTGGATCGTCGTGATGGGCGTCTTCGTGGTGTTTCTGTTGCCGGAGACCAAAGGGGTGCCCGTTGACTTGATGGTGGAGAGGGTGTGGAAGCAACACCCCGTTTGGCGGAAGTTCTTTAGGAATGACAATGTTAGGACCTATGAAATGGCTGCCTAGCTAATTGTTATATATATATATATATATGGATGCATGGTTTTCATTTATTAGAGACTGATCCATATATGATTTTTATTTATATATAAACACAAGTAATTGTGTTTCAATTCTTATGCTTAATTGTCTTCCATTTAATTTGTATGTGACTTTATGGACCATGCTAGGTTTAGGGGATCTCTCCTCTTTATGAGTTTTATCTTATTTTTTCACGGACATAAGTTTAAAAAACATTAGCTATAACAACTCATATTTAACTTTTTTCAAACTAATATATGCACAATATATTAATACAATATTTTTATCACTAATATATACACAATATATTAATACATAGATACATTTTCACACAATCTTTTTTTCTGTATATTGTGATTAAAGTCTAAAATTATTAACTAAGAAAAGAAAAATAATATTAGTTTTATTTTTAAAATATAGTTTTAAAATATTAAAATTTTTAAAGAAAAATAACATTTTCACCCAATCTACAATATTTTTAAAATATAGTTTTAAAATATTAAAATTTTATAATATCTAATTATTTTAAATTATATTTATTTCATTGTCAAATAATGTCACGATTTAACCAAAAAAGTGAAATTGTAGTAATCTTTTTGAGACATGGGAAGTAGTTGATTAGGAGAGAAGAAGTTACAAGCTCAAGGGTGCCCCTAGAATATACTTTCTCGGATGACAATGATTTACACTATTCGAATAACCGTGTACAATCTCGTAAATTTTAAAATTATTTTATTTAAAAGTTGCTATAAAAATATATGATACAAATTACATATTTAAAAATAATTACGAGAAAAATTCTACAAAAGAAAATGACAAGAATAATTTATTTAAAAAAATAGTCAATCAATGAAAACATTCAACAGAAGTGTTTTCAAGAAGTTGTAATAATAATGGTGTAAATCATTTTGAGACAAAGAAGATATATTTTATCTCAAACTTAACATATAGGTTTTCGACAGTACCATGTCAAAAATTGTACTCCCTCCGTCCCTTTAAACATGAAATGTTTTGAATTTGAAGAGGTCTAAGAGGGGTGTATTTTGGTAATAAATTTCCAAAAACGTCCTTTAATGTGATGGGTAAAAGTAGAATTTGATGGGTAGATTATTAGTAAAAAAGTATGATGTGATAGGTAGGGTATGAAAAAGTAAGGGTAAAAGTGACTTTTTAATAGAAATAAAAAGTGTTTTTTGCGACGGATGAAAAAAGAAAAAAGAAAGGTTTTCGGAACGGAGGGAGTATTACTCATATATTGAATTTTGAACTCAACGACGAAAATTGAAACTCTATAAAGAAGAAGATAAATACGGAGTATTCAAACTATGGAAGACTAGTTAGATCGCAACGATCGGAAAGAAATCATCTTAAATAGGAGTAAAATATAAATAAAGTATCAAAATAGAAATTTTATGTTCTTATCTCAAAATAGAAGATTACACTATGATAATTTTATGTTTTTATCTCAAAATAGAAGATTGCACTATGATAATATGACACTGTATTGGCACTGTGTATGCATTTTAACTCCTGTTTTGGAAATAAAAACATAGAACTCCTATTATGGAATATTTTCAATGTTTTATGCTAAAAAACCCAAATAGAACCCTAACTAGAACATAGAAAATATATCTAAATAGGAGTCTAAAACATACATTCCTTAAATATGAGTAACTTTGCATCGGCATCTCCAAAATACCCCTCGACATCTGCATCGTGTTACATGTCCACAAGACTACATGCCCACATGTCACACATCTTAATCCCACATGTCTACAAGAAAGTGGAGAGGACGAAATCGGAAAGTGGAGAGGGCGAAATCGGCAGAGGATGAAAGAAGGTGGCGGGAGGAGTCCTATATTTGGATAATAAAAAACTTAAACTCTTGTCTTATGAATTAACACAATATTTTAGTCCTACTAGTGGTGATTTCTAATATTTTATCCCAAGATTGAATTGAGATCCTCTTCTTCTTGGTAGTGCACCTCTTTTATATTCTCTCGGACTATTTATCAACTTTGAAATCAACCAGAATTGACCTTTAATTTTTTTAAAGAGGAAATCGACTTTTGATTTAAAGTTAAATAAAAATTACTCCGGTACATGGTATATTAATTAAGTAAAATAATATTTTAAAAATATTTTACAAAATAAATCTAATGAGATTATTCTTGTATCAATATTTAAAATACATTTTACCTAATTCATGACCAACGTTCATCAATTTTGATTGCAAAAAGTTAAAAGTAAATAAATATTCTGGAATAAATGTAATAGTTGAAAAGAGCACTATTGCCCCCATTAAATATCACAATTGATTTAAAAAAAATTACTCCCTTCAATTCTAAAAATCTTTGATGTTTTTTATTATTTTGGTCAAACAGTGACACTCGTTTACTCTAAAGTCAAAATTAACTTGAGAGTGCAATTGAAAGGGTGAAAAGTGTGTCTGAGTCGGGACAGGATGAGGGATTTACCGGAGGGGGTTAGAGAGACTAAGAACTGTCAATTCTATGAACAAGGCACCAGAGCACACCCGAGTCTTCCCATGACATTGATTCCCAATGTCATTAGAACCAAGGAGTATCAACACATATTGCAATGGAGAAGAAGAAGAAGAAAGAATTGAGTCAAGTTTATATATCTCTTGATAATGGATTGACAAGAGTCACTCCCAAACAGGAAGATAGTCAATAACAATAAAACCAGCAAAAGCAACACTAACAATATACCCACATTTCTCTATTGCTAAGAATGAGATTTTTTTAAGCCTGTGATTTCTGTATCCCTCCCTCCCTGTCAGAGTTTGAATAGGTCTCTTGAGAGGGAGGAGAGAGACGAACGGCGATTAGCGGTAAAGCTTGACTCCACGGAATCAATGCTTGGCTGGCGACTTGCCCTTCCTCGCCGCAATCTCCATGTCAAGCTGCTTCTTTAGATAGCTTTGTGCCGTTGCGTTTATAATCTTGAAGAAAAAATTGAGGAGCACAATCGATACTACCGTGTTCCACACCGAAGCAAACGAGAACTCCCAATTGTTTACCTAATGATGACGATGATGATAACAACATATCATAAGTTAAAGAAGATTTCCAAACATTCAAAACTGCATTTTGGTGAAGTAAAAGCTCAAAAGTTGTTCTCAACCACAATCCCACAAACATCTATCCCAAGAGTTGACCCTCTAATAGCTAACGGGCCCTACATACGCTAGCATAGAAGTTAAGGCCATTGGTCTTTTCTTAAGGAACCATTTCAAATGAAACATGTTTGGTTGGAGGATCTTACTTGATAATTAGCTTGAGATAGTATAATAAGATTCTTGTGGTAGTTTTTGTAATAAGCGAATGAGACTTTAATTTTTATTTCTCATTTCAAAATCAATTTGCATGTGTTTGTCATTTTACATTTCGAAATGAGAAGTTTAGATGGTAAAATAGGAAAAAAAAAGGATTCTTTTAGTCTTTGAAGTGCAGAAGTACTAATTGGGAACAAAATGGAGTAAAGGGATATGTGTGTTTTATGAAGAGTGAGTAATTAGAAGTAACCTTAGTATTTGAAGAGGCATGAGGTTTGGCTGCCATGTATGTGTTTTTAATGGAATGAAGCTTGGTAATCAAGTTTGGTAGGAACGAATCAACTCCAGGAACAAAGCCGAGAACCCAAATCAATTCGTTTTCCATCCAATCGAGGAGTTGATTGTTGCAAACCGAAATTATAAACACGGTCTGCCAAACAAGAAATTAAGAACCAATCATCATCATCATTCTAGTTAGAAATACGCATAATTCTAAGAAAAAAATAAGCGTAACTAAAAACTTCACAGATTCTGAAGCCAAGAGAAACACAAACCTGGATATGAGTTTTAATGATGGCCTTTCCAATCAATGTAGCGAGGAAGAACTCCCAGAATGGAATGCCAAATTGTCCGCACATTATCCCAGCCAAATCAAATAAAGGATTCGGCACCTTACACAACAATTGTTTTTGGGATAATCAGCAACAAAATATTTACTAGAGGAGCAACTTATAATAAATAACCAAATCAGCAAAGAAAAGGAACAAATACTCCAGCCGTCCCTAAAAAAAGATCAAATCTTGAAATGAAAGTATACAAAAATTATGAAGCACCATTTATTTCTTCTTCTCCCTTTCATACACAGTTGCTAGGTTGCAAAATGCAATAAATAGGGATATGGAGTAATTTAGAAGTGAATTTTACAAGTATTATGGGGGTCATAAAGAAACTAAAAATATGACACTTTTTTAGAGTAGGAGGGAATATGTTTGTAAAAAAAAGGCATCTCGAAAGAATTGGAAAGAACTGCAGGCATTAATTACACAAACTAACCGAGGCAAGAATTAGGATTGAGAGGAAGTTCAAATATTGCGCATGCGAAAGGAACCAGCACTTAATTTGATTTAATTTACTTGCTAGAACCCCTTTCTTTTCCTCGGTTGAGGGAGTATCAAGTTCTTCTAATCTACTTCCTGATATCCGCGCTGCAAAACGAAATCAACATAGGATAGAATAGTGGGCATCTTTGTCTGATTCAACATATAGATCTAATTGTTTTAATGAATGTTTCATAAGAAGACAAATAAGTAAAGCATGATAAATTCAGTTAAATTGGTGAATAAACAAACAAAAGTTAGTATGATTCGTGACTGGCAATACTTAGTAGAATACTATAAACCCTGGAATATCAAGAAAATATGGACTTGCATTAACAATAGAGTTAATTATCCAGCTTAGTTCTTCAACTATGCACTATTACGTTTTTGGGCTCAATTTAGTCCTCTAATGACTTGAATCATATACTAACACAACTTACATATGATATAGTAGATTAGTAGGGGGTCATTCGGAAACAGCCGCCCTACGACCCTACCTTTCTACGTAGGGTAAGGTCTGCATATACCCCCCCCCCAAAGACCCCATTAGTGGGACTTTACTGGGTGGTTGTTGTTGTGTATAGTTGAGGGACTAGATGGGATATTAACTCTTTAATAAATCATTTTAAATAAAAAAAAAAGATTTTGAAGGTAATGTGGGGAAAAAACTAGCACATTTGCACTGGACATGGAAAGTTAAATTTGTGTCTTTACCTGCTCTTGAAATGAAATAAGGGGGGAGCTCTCCTAGGGCAGTCCCGAGGCCCCACAATATAGCCTCTAATTGCACCTGAGGCAAGATACTGCTCAAAGGAACTCGCGGGCCATTAGGAGAGGAAAAAAGTGGAGGCCCAAACTCAGAACAGTCCTTGCCAAGCCATGAAGGGCTTCTTTTGAGTTGAATTGTATCATAAGGGGCACTCTTGATGTCAACCCGACCGCACTTCATTGCTTTTATAGTGAACAAAGCAATGTGTGGGCCCAGATACAGAACGAACGTGTGCAAGCCAGACCCTGCATTGTTATGCCAGACAAACAGTGCACATGATTAGAGTTTCACTCTAAGCAGCTTACTAATTATGGAATAATTAATTGATCGATTAGTGTTACCAAGGCCAATAGAAGATGCAACACCAAGAACAGTCCACCATAACCCAAACTGTACATACTGAAGGGCTTCCTCCACCTGTTGCAGTGATAAGGAAACATGTCATAAATAAAATTACCAGCTTGGTAACACAATCACTATTCACCAGTGACAAAGGACGTCTTAGAGGAGGAGCACAGGGAATGACCGCTAAGGGCCCAAAGTTTTCATATTTTTAATATTAAAAAAAATTATTGTTCCATCCATCATTTCTCAGGTTCTTTTTTCTAGTTGTCTCTGCTAAACTTCTTCCATCCTTTTAGGTTCCAAGTTCCACTCGCTCCGCATGCAAGCGTGCCTTTAAACTCTTCCCCAATTCTTAATATGTCCTCATGCAGTCATTCACTTCATGTCACTGCAAAATCTTTTCTTCTTCCTCACTTTGTATTCCCTTTTTTCTTGCAACTCTTCCGATCCTTCTCTCATTTCTAAATGATTGAAATGAACTTCACTCATCCTTCCATCCTTTTTACAAAAAAGTTCAAAGTTTTATTTTAAACGTTTATTAAGTTAATTTGGCTTGTTCTTTTTTTTAGGAGAATTTGATATAATTTCACTTTGTAAATAATATTCTTAATGCTTGATAGATTCATTCTTATTAATACTAATTTTAAATCAAGGTTTTCAATAAAAATAAACAAGTTATATAGATGGAAAATTATATCCTAGGAGGAACAACTTTTCTAAGGTCGGAGATGATGGAAAATAGGAGAGAGGACAAGAGAGGTCATGATTTTGAATCCTAGGAGGAACAACTTTTCTAAGGTGCTATTAGTTTTGGGTGATGCTCAGACTTTGAATCAAGTATGTGTCCAGTATCAAACTTGGATTTACTTACCTATAAATGTGAGGATGGTTAATAGGTCTCAGTACAATCAAGTGAAGCCAAACACTTGAGTTACCATAAAAACAAAATAAAATAATAATGAGGGAAATTCCAAAGCCATCATCATAGGTTCTTCCCACTTGAATAAAAAATATAACAGGGTTCTCTCCATCATGGCAGAATTCGTAATACACAAGGGTATTATCCCCTCCCAAAACCGTAAAAATGGTAATAGATCCGTAACCTTTGTAATAGCAATACGTTTCCAACTTTCCAGCCATTTCACAAACATAGCGACGCACTGAAGGAGATATAGTCTGTATTAAATAATGTGATGTACCTTCCCCTGGGCGGAGTCTGTGGACAGAAGAAGCATTCCTAAGAGAGCAGCCACGCCGATGAGTACCATAAACAATAACACATGTGACAAAAAATACAAGAGAGACTGTCTCAACCACTGTAGTATCGCCATAGAAAAAAGCTTAAGTGTTTTGAATGGCTGTGCCATAAGAGTCAAATTTGCTATTTCTTCTTGGTGCTTAGACTGAAGACCTGCAAATCAATAGCCATTGCATTACTTCTCAGAACTCTTGATGTATACAACCATATTCTTTATTCCTCGGCTGAACTAAAGGTTCCCACTTGCCACAAGGAAATTCCAAATTCAAGCTTGAGCATGAAACTGATGTTTATAAAGAAAAAAATAGAACCGTCCAATTCCAAAGATGGTTTCTTTACAGCAAATAAGTTTCACACAATTGGAATACTCCAATGTAGGTTGTAAGTGAGAAGTAAATCCCAAATCTAGTTTGAATTGTGCAGTAAATGGAGAATAGTTGGCTAATTAAATTGTATAGATTTTGCATTATAGACAATAAGTGGATTCTGAACTGCTTGATGTTACAGACCACACAATGAAGAAAACAAAAACAATAAGATCCATAAGTTCACTTTGATCAAAGCAACTATACTGAACTTTGGATGATGATACAATTGAAGAAGTATGAATATTGATTCATCCAAAAGACACAGAACCTGCAATCAAATCACACTATATCTCTGGCCTTAACATTTTAAGTCAACCCAAAGATAACACCCCACCCCCTTCCATATTATCTCATTGAATGCAATTGAAGCAGACCCAAAACTCAGAACATCACAAAAACACATCAAAGGTCCAATTTTCCCCCCTAAATCGACTCATGAGAGGAGAGAAAACACAGATAGCGAAGGAAAAAAACTTGCCCGCGATCGAAGAATCATTGTTCTTAGCAAATTCTCGTGATTTCTTCGGCGAAGCCGACTTCCTCTTCGAACCCATTCCTGCGTTTTAGAATCCCCTTATTTACATGTGCTCAAAATCCATCTTTTCCGGCGAATCCTGGGCTTTTTTCGAAGGCCAGAAGATGAAATCAGAGATTGGGGTTCGAGAAAACACGGTGGATGAATCGGTGGAATGCGGAGGAGTGGGTGGCTTAGCTCGCCGGGCGTCGAGATCCTGTGTCTCGCCGGGCGCCTGCGGGAAACAAGGAGCAGTGACAATCACCGCCGGGAAACGGGGAGAAGAGAGAAAGTAAAGTTACTGCTTCGGAAAACTCCGTCCGTAAGATTAAGGGCATGTAATTAGTTTTTGAAAAAGCTATCTACGGGCAGCGCTATTCCCAAACAGGCCCTAACATATATTCGACAAAACGTTTTTTTTAAAGAGTCAAAAAATATTTAAGAAGACGTTTATTTATTTATTTTTTTTGAAATAAATAAAGAATAAAATTCTATAGTAATAAAGTTTGAAAGTTTAAAGCATCATTTTGTTTAAGCACCACTTTATTTATTCTGTTATAAATGTTTCCCTCAAATTTGATATATTATCCTATCTTAAGGCCCTTAAGGTCCTGTTTGGTACATAAAAGTCAAACTATGGAATTGAAACTGAAGACTTTAATTCCAATTCTGGTGTTTAGTAGCACAGATATTATGTGGATTTGGAATTGATAGTGCAAAAATAGAATTGGAATGAGTGAATTCAATTTTATGGAATTGAATCTCATGAAATTTCAATTCCAATTCAATTCCAATTCCATCAATTCCGTATACCAAACGGACCCTAAAAGAATTTGGTTAAATTTAGGCCGAGTATAATTCAATTTCGAAAATAAAATTACAAGGAATTTTTTTTTGGTTAAGAAAACAATGAAAGGTTAAATTGACTTTGAGTTCCGTAGGTTTGACAAAAAAAAGCATAATGTCGTATATATATTTATATTGTTCTGCACAACCATTAATATTTTTTTCATTTTGATTTAACATATTTGACTAAATTATTTTCAATTTAATTTTTCAAATAAAGATTATAATAAGAATAGTATGTAAAATTAATTTAAATAACTTTTTGAAGTTTCTTCTGTTCTTTTTAGATTCTTCCAAGTCCCAACACCCAACTCTTTCTTTTAGCCCTAAAAAATAGGATTTTAATCGCAGTATATTGTGAAACACTATTTCGTTTGGGTGTATATAATGTCATTTAGATAATAAAAAGTATTGTAAGATAAAAGGTTGAAAATGGATCTTGTTGGTTCATAGTTTAAATTATAACTGATACCAATGGATTGTTTATTCTAAAAACAAATAAGGACTTTCACTATCTCACCATGGAACGTTCGAACAAGAAAGCCTACGTATAAAACACTGAAACCAAAAATTCATCATGATTTACAAATCTTCAATGACTCAATCATGAAGAACAATCTACTAACAACCTCTCTCTAAACATGAAGTCACGAGTTTAAATACAAGTGGTGACAATAACTCTCTATGCTAAAATAAGTTGAGAAAGAATATAAAAATATATAGATACTATATTCTAATAAAATTATCAGTACGTATAAAAAATAAACAATGGAGGATGCAAATGAAGATCTAGTGATTCTAGAAGAGCGGGTGAAAATTGTTCCTATTGATTCAGAGGAATAAAATCTATTTCAGCCAGGGGAGATATCAAAAGCAAATGAGGAGATCCCAAAAAAGTCTTATGCAGACGTTGTGGGAGAACGGAATGCGACGGAATGTAAGTTGAATTTCATTGAGGTTGAATTAGTTAATAGAAATATATATGCTTCTAGCAAAAGGTTGAATCTCCAACCCTAAGGGTCCCACTCCTCGGCTTAACAGGTTAGTATGAGGGATGTAAATCACGAGCTCAGTAGCTCGTTAAATGAGAGAGGATGCGCTTCTCCCACAAGCATGCATGGAACCCCTCCTTATAGCTGATGCAGAGATTTTCTGGCACATCGTTTGGCACTGAAAATTCTTCTTTTATTCTTGATTAAGAACTGATGGAGTGAAATGGAAGGAAAATGCAAAATTGAAAAGGATAAAGTATTTGTAAATCAGGTGGTGAAATACGAATGTCGTATTTACTGGGATAGCGTTGTTGGTTAGAAATCAAGTGCAAAGTACAAATTAAACATGTACTAATATCAAATTGCAACATATGAATTAGGGTGTAGAGACGGAGAAGGTGCATGAATGATATGCTAGTGAATGAAATGAATCTAGTGCAATGAACAACTAAAATGAAATGCAATGTGTAAAATAAAAGCAAATTTAGGCTAGATATTTAATATCAATCATACAAATTGCCAAGGAACACCTAGAAAGCGAGCTAATCACCCTGATTTTACTTCAATGAGATTCAAGAAATAATTTCATTGGTAGGAGTCCATTTCCATGGTGCCCATCTCAAGAGAATCACAAACAAGAAAGCTCCTAAAATTTCATGTGATGGAATATGGAAAATAATATCATTGCTCAAAGAATAAAAGTGTACATGGTAGCTAATATATAGGAGAGATTTCTAACATAAACATGAATAGAAACTGACTAAAATACAATAACTACCATAAATAATACTCCATCCGTTCCACAAAACCCTTCCGGTTTTGACTTTGGGGAAAAATAAGGAAAGTGTAATTTTGGTTGACTTTCTAATTTTGCCCCTGATGTGATGGGAAAAAGTAAGATGAAATAGTTTGGTTATTAGTGAAAAAATATGATGTGATAGGTAGGGTATGAAAAAGTATGGGTAAAAGTGGTTTTTTAATAGAAAGTGTAAGTGTTTTTTGGAAAGCAAAAAAAAACGAAAGAGGAAGGGTTTTGTGGAACGGAGGGGGTAAGATTTATTATAATAATTGTCTAACACACTCCACTTTGGTGGTAGGACTTAAGAGTAGAGACCCAAGACTAGCTAGAGGTCTAAATCTCGATTCCTCGGTGAATTAGAACCTATTTCAAAACACAGGCAAGCACGTCGTCATGGCCAACAACACACAAATAAAAATAAAAGCAATCTTTACAAAGAACCTATATCAAGATCTCATAATACACAACAATAATCCAAAGACAACAAACATAAATTAACAATCCATTGCCAACTTAGGCTAGAGAATCTAACATAGCATGCTTGAATCTAAAAGATGCATGACAAATACTCCCTTAGTCTCTAAAAGATTATCACACTTTCATTTTTTGGTAAAATTTTAGCACTCTTTGACCACAAATTAAATATAGCTTAAAATAGTTAAATTATACAAATATTTGATATTTCAAATCTATAAATTAAAGTAAACCTAATTTTACTAAATTTACATTATAACCAAATATTCTTTTTCCATAATTTACTGTCAAAGTGTGCCACAAATTGACCAAAGTTTAAAGTGTGACAAACTTTTATGAAGAGAGGGAGTAAATAAAAAAGCATGAAAGAGATAAATGAAATAAGGATTATATTAAGAGACAACTAAATCTAAGGATGGAACTCCCAATATCAAAATAATAATATTATTTACGTATATATGGTAACATAAATAAATAGTAACACCAGTAATAAATTCTTTTGGTGAATGAATACAATCATTCTCCGCTCTTGTTGATTACGGGGTTGTTTCTTACGCCCTCCGTCCCTAAATATTTGCAGTGTTTGCTTTTTCAGTGTTGCGAGAACTTTTGTTTATTTCTACGTTTTCATTGGTTGTTTGATAAAATAAAATATTCTTGACACATCTTATTTCGAAGAACTTTTCATGTAGTTTTTTGATATGTAATTTTATTTTTTATTTCTATACAAATATGTAAATAAAATGAATTGAAAAAACTTGATATTTTGCTTCGAGAATACAAGTGTGACAAATATTTAGGGACGGAGGGAGTATTACTTTTTGATTTTTGATTACACATTGTTATTGCTAAAAATCAAAAGACATACATTGACATGGGGGTGTGGTTGTTCGTAAAAACAAATCAGAGTTGCACAACTAGGATGCTTAAATTAAGGGCTATAATCATTTATCACGTCCACACTCATGTTAGCCACCGAGCCCAACTTCTTGGTCGAGTTCCTTCTCGTCTATCTGTCTATATCATTGGGACGATCCTTGCCTTAGCGCCTAATTCTACGTACGATCGAATCGTCACTTTTATTATTGCGTTGGGATCGTCGAACAAGATTTTGATAACGAAGTCGTCATTAGATGACAATGTCATCCAATCAAGAAGTTGTTGGATGAAGACATTCAAATTTGATTGATTATTGATAAAGAGTACATGCAATAATGGGACGCCAAATGCCAATCGCGCCATTATATTATTCTAGCTAGCTAGTGAACCGATGCATACATGCAGATACATTATTGAAATGCATCACAATTATATTGACACATATATATAGAGGGATGAATTATAGATACATATTTACAGAGGCAAATACCACGAATATCATATCCCAACAATTGTACACCGAAGATAAACAAACAAGTGTGTTTACGTTTGTGCCCGAACAGACATAAACGTCTATGTTTGTCTTTGGTATACAATTGTTGGGGTCGAACCCCCAAGAATTAGTTTAATTAGGCACCCACACTTGTGGAAGCAAGAAATGATGAGTCCATTTCGCTGTTTCTGGTGCGATTACTACTCGCCATTACTTTGTCGTCATCCACCTCTGTATTGCCTATGAACCAAATTTCTGGTATGACGCGTATTAGGTCGCTCACTTTCTCCAGCGCATAATCGCATTCTTTACTTGTCCTCTTCGATGTGCCAACCTGCGATCCAAATTTTAAAAAAAAACAACATAATTATATTCAGTTATCCACACAAAGTATAAATAATTAGTTAATCCGGGAAATTTGGAAGCAAACGAAAATAAAAAGATTTTTCTTTGTTTCTGATATCATTTGATGATAATAGGTTTTATTAAATAATGAAACTTTCATCTTTATATATAAAAAATAGAAATAAAATCTAACTATAGTAGATTAATTAATTAATTACTCCCTCAATCCATTAATTTCTTTCTCATTTCCCTTTTCTGACTGTCCAAAAAATGTTTTCTCGTTTCTTGTGTTGGCAAAATTTTTTATGAATGTGTCATTATTCCTATACTTTTTCTCTACTGTATTAACTTTATTCAATCACATCAAGGACAACACGTGGAAAGTCTTTACATTTTTTAACTTTTCTTGATTTTCGTTCCAAAACGAAAAAGGAATTTTTGAACGGGAGAGTATATTAACAATAGAATAAGTAAAGTATGTAATACTCTATTTTTTATTATTCCTATTATTCTTTGGGTGCGTTTAGTGAATTTTGGAGGTATGATAAAATATAAATTTTAAAATTATAGAAATAGATATATACTTCCTCCGTTCCAGAGTATTTGTCCAGTTTGACTTTTTCGAGTCAAACTAGACAAACTTTGAGCTTCAATTAAATAAAATCATAAAGTATTTTAATATAAAAATGACTTTATTGGATTTATCGTATTGAGAACTTTCAAAATTGTATTTCATTATACTAATATTTAATATAAATTGAAAGTAATTGAAGTTCAAAGTTTATCGAATTTGACTCGAAAAAATCAAACTGGACAAATACTCTGGGACGGAGGTAGTATGAGTTTCGGAAATTGTTTGGTGGGATTTAAAATTGTGATTTAACGGAATTGTTGGCGGCGAAAATGGTAACCGATGGGGGGAAATGGTCAACAATTCAGAGATATATTTCCTAAATTCGGGAGATATTAAAACTCTCCATTTTTATGTGTATATCAAATTCAATACTCCGTATCATTTTTGGCTTTAGCAAATGCAAAAAATATTCTGATGTGTGAAGATATCTAAATTTATATTGAGTATCTCTTTTGCTTAACACACAATGCCTTAATAATTTCTTCACAAATATAGAAGAATTCAAGTTTTCTTTCCTTTAAGCCTCTTTTGTTTTTTCTTTTTTTTTTGGTCTTTGAAATTAGAACATTCTTCGCCTGCCTATGTAATTGATGAGCACTTATTTTAAGCTTCCAATCGTGCAGTTGGGTAGTTGACACGTCACACAATTGGTTTAATACTTTAATGTTCAAACCATGTTAGGTACGATCCAACTGTCATTGTACAACACAATAAGCTAAGATCACAAGGTGGATTATTGTTTTTTTGTTTTTTTGTTTTTTAATATGACAGAGAATGATTTTTTTAATTGATAATGAGATTGGAGGTTAGTTCTTTAAAAAATAGAATTTGTTTTTTTTCTTTTGTGAGAAAATAAGTGATTATTTAAAGAGTGTTTAATAGTCCCTAAAAAGAGTAAAAACTCTTCCGTCACTACTTACCAAAGCTGTTCGAAGCCCAATAGCATTTCCAGCAACTATGTTCTGGATGTTGTCATCAAAAAAGAGCTGAAACAAGTGATAAAAAGAATCAAAAAATATTTTCACTCTCCATTTAAGAAAAAATATGAATATTTATCTACATAAATTTCTATCATACAATTAGAATTTTTCTTATATTTCATAAACTCTCTTCGTTCCTGAGTATCTGTCTATTTTTTACAGAGTACTTTTTTCCATCAAAATTGGTAAATTTTAACTTCAAATTAAATAAAAATGATATTAGATATTGATACAAAAATAATTTTATTAGATTTATTATACTCCGTATCAAATATTTTTAAAATATTATTTTATCTTATTAATATACAATATATATTTTATTAATAATAAGCTACAGATTGAAAACAGTCGACCGAAAAAGGTCAAAACTAGACAAATACTCAGCGATGAATGTAGTATAAAATTTGGAAATCACCCTAAATAAGACTAAAACATAGAAAAAAGTACCAAAATAAGAATTTCATGTTTTTATTTCCGAAATAGGATTTTACATTGTAGTAATGTGGTTGTAATGTGACATTGTATATGTGCACATTACTATACTTTTTGGTAATATACATGATCATGTTTGATAATATAAATGCATTTAAACTCATATTTCGGGAATAAAAAACATAAAAATTTTATTTTTGTATATTTTCAACATTTACTCTTATTTTAATCTTTTTCCCTATAAAATTCAAAGAATGTCTTTAATTTCGGAACCTTCATTATTTCATGGAGGGAATATAGTTCTATATTTTTCTCTCTTAGAGCACTGGAAATACTCGTGAAGCCCCGGGGCTTCAAACCGGGGCTTCAAACTCTCTCTTTCTCTCTCCCACGTTAGCTTTAACTTACACCAAAAATTCACTGGAAATGGGTTTGAAGCCCCGGGGCTTCAAATAGGGGCTTCAAACCTTCATTTTTTACATTTTTAAATATACATCTTCTAAATTTAAATTATTAAATTTTAATTAATTTATTATTTAAATTAATCAAAAGGAGATTAGTACATTAAAAAAATTAAATTCATTAAAAAAATATTACATTCATAGAAGAATACATTCATAAAAAAGTTTCATTCATTAAAAAAATATCGCATCCATAAAAAAATAACACTACAAAAAAATTACTAATTATTCGAGCAACTAAAAATATCTTCATTCAAATTCGAGTTGTAGTAAAATATTGCAAACTGAAATAATTCATCAAATAAAAAATACAGTCAATAAAAAAGTTATGTTAAATTTAATAAAAAACAAAACAAAATTACATTACTAAAAAAAATTTGAACAAAAAAATATTACATTAAACAAAAAAATATAGAGTAAAAAAAATTATGTTTGTGTACATTTTTTTAAAAGAGAGAGGGGGGAGGGGGAAGGGTTTGAAGCCCGTTAAACATTTGAAGTAGAAGAGATGAAGCGGGATGAAGCCCCTGGCTTCAAAAGTAGCATAAGGCGGCGGAGTGGTTGTTACATGTATTACCCGTGCTCTTACAATTGGGAACATACCGTTCGACGTGGAACCACACCAGCGGAGACCACGGCAATATTCATGGCCTCCATCGCCGGCTTCAGCACAACCGGAACCTCCCCAGGCCGCCGCCGGGATAGGTTAGGATTCATTGTCTCGAAGCAAATAATCCGCTCAAAACAATCCCTGATCCCAAGCCGATCCAGCACTTTCACCGCGTGAACTCTATCCGAATTCGTAAAAATCTATATCGAATAATCAATCGCAAAATTATCCCCACCAGTTTCAATTCAATCAATATTCAGAGAAATAATCGCAGCAATTGGCTTACTATTTTGCGTTGATGGATTGTAAGCAACAGGCTTCTCAAATCAGAGTCTGGTTCAATCAAATGGTAAGGTAATCTCCCATGGACGAAACTATCCAAAATGCAAATTCATAACAATAAATTCCACATTTCATTTCTTAATCGAAAAAATAATGCAAAAAAAAACATCTCCTCACCTGTGATATTCATCAGCATCAATATCATGCCCTAACGCCTGAAATGCAAAGTATTTTATTTTTTCAGAAAAAAAATCAAACAATTTCAAATCCAGGACGAAGAGAGTGTTATAGTTGTACTCGTAATCCGGCGAGAGAGCTCCCGTATTTTCTGAAGAGCTCGATGCGCAGAGCCGAAGCTTCGGATTCTGAGAATCCGAATTTCTCCATTATAAAATCTAGTTTTAAAAAAAAACAGAAAAATTAAACTCGGTAATTACAGAAACTGCAAATTGAGCTCGGATCACCGTAGATCGGTAAAGGAAACAGAACAAAAATCTAACCGTCAATGTTCTTCTTCAGTGCTTGTCCGATTCCGATCTTAGAGGAGTACAGAGTATCATCCATGTCTTAATTCAATTCGCAGAGCAATTAAAAGTTAGATCGAATGGATTCGAAATTTAAGAACAGAGAATTGAAGACGAAGAAGGAGAAGAATAAGTACCGAAAAGTAGAGCGTCGAATGGAGAAGACGACGATTGGCGAGATGATTTGCAGAGAGAATCCATTTTATGTTATTCAATTGAGGGGCTTTTTAGTACAGGGAGAGGAGAGGGGAGGGGAGGGGAGGGGAGAAGTATATATAAGGGCAAAGAGGGGATAAGATAAGCGTTTTGAATTGTTGCTGACTCGGACGTGAGAGCCGAGATTTCCGCTGAAAGCTTAACGGGGTACAAGTCGTGGGCCCTGCGCGCTTTTAATTGGCTGAAAGACGAATATGCCCCAGCCTTTCACTGATTGACACGTTGCGGAAGTCTTACGCGATTTGGTGGCAAGCGGAATGAACTTATCCAAACCCAAAAGTGGTCGATGAGAATGATACAAATTTTTAATTTTTGCAAACTAGTGTTATGCGTTGACACTAAAAACTCAGTGTCGATAAAATTTTGTTGTAATTGGAAGGATTTAAAAGGGAGGAAGGAAGTATCAAAATTCACTGAATAGAATATCACTCAAAAATAGAAATGCCGAATCGCTCACAAATTTATCGAGTCGAGCTTTAGCCTACTCAAATAAGCTTGCTATTAAGAATATATATGTGAGGTGAACTCGATCTTGATCGAGTAAAACTTTTCCAAATTTGAGTTTTGACGAGCATTGATCAAATCGAGCTAGAACGCTTTGGGAGCCGGCTAAGCTCTATCACCCGCCCCCTAGTATGAATACAAATCTATCCATTCAGGATCAGAGTTAATTCTTAAATCTTAAAGTAGTATTTTTCCCTCGTTTTGTCGTGCAATGTTCGTTTGAATAAAGTTTTAATATTTCTTTGTCTCAAAACCTCTTTGATGTTTTGACTTCTATAAAATTTAAGGTAGAAACTTTTTTGCATTGATTTTTCAAAAAAATCCTAGATATAAGGTCTAACGTAGAATCTGATGGATAGTTTATTAACGAATTGATATGATGTGATGCATAAATATAGGAAAAATTAGTAAAAATAAAAATGATTTTTCAATATATACTTCCTAGGAAGATTAAATACATCCATTTCACTTAATGTAAGGAAAAAAAGAAATGTGAATGACATTTTGGAACGAAGAAAGTTCTTACGGAGTAGTTAAATATGATTAAGTGCATTATTGGAAAAAAATTACTCCATACATCTCCTAGAATTAATTCACACGTTTTACAAAATTAAAGGTAACAAGACTAACTTATTCCGGTACATATGAAGGAAAGATTTTAATTTAGAAAAAAATGAAAGTAAATTACACGGAGAAGACGAGATACATAGGGACGAGTATAATCTAGCTAATAAGCAAAGGATTTCTGTCAAAGAAGTTGGCCGGCCTTAGCTCAAACTCAACGGAGACCATTGGCATCACCGGGAAATCTTCTTGCACAGGTACGTGGTGGAACCCCAGAGTGTACCACAACACTATATCTTTGTTTTCAATTGACCTATTCCTGCAAATTAATTAAACACCAATAACAAAAAATCTCTATATCTTGCATAATTGGTCATTTCGTTAACCTATCTATCTGTAAAATACTCCCTCAGTTTCATAAAACGGTTATATTTTAATTTTTAGGAGAAACAAGAAGTGTATATTTGTTGTTTACTTTTCAATTTTACTCTTGATATGATGGTTAAAGTAAGATGTGATTGATAAATTATTAATGAAAAAATATGTTGCGAGAGATAGAATAAGAAAAAATAGAGATAAGAATTACTCCCTCCGTCCCGGAAAACATGAGAGTTTTGATTTTGGAAAGAGATTTAAGGGAAGTGTATTTTGGTATTGAATTTCCAAAAATGTCCTTTGATGTGATGGGTAAAAGTATGATTTGATGGATAGATTAATAGTAAAAAAGTATGATGTGATAGGTAGGGTATGAAAATATAAGGGGTAAAAGTGACTTTTTAATAGAAATGAGAAATGTTTTTTGGGACGGATGAAAAAAGAAAGGAGAAAGGTTTTCTGTGACGAAGGGAGTATTTTTGAATAGAAATTGGAAGTCTTTTGGGAACTAAAATTGTTTGTGAAATTTGCACCGAATAGGACTAAAACATAAGTCATTTTCCAATATAGGAATTAAACTATTTTATTCCTTAAATAGGAATTAATAATGACTAGTGAGAAGAATAATATCCAAGTGATACTAGACATTTAGTTAAATAATGACTAATAGATAATGACCAATGGTTCTACATTGAGAAATAAAAACATATGGTCCTATATTGAGAAAGTCATTATCTTTAAGTCCTATTGGTAAATTATTCAAATTGTTTTCAAAAACGGAAACACTATTAACTCATAGTGCATCATGCATGCAACGTATGCATGGAAAGAATAGCTACTCACGTACGTACCTTTGGGTCCAAACGGCCAACCCGTCGTCTCCATGGCTCTGGTCCGTATAAAATCCACCGGGCCACTTCTCCGACCGGTTGTACGGAGTCACCCAAACTTGGTACTTAGTATACGCCGCCCGGATCTGCGGATAATCGTCGTCCGACAGCAAAGAATACGCCGGCGAGGGTCCGGCAATCAGTTTGTACCCCACCTGGTTTCCCAACGTTGTATTCTTGTTCGGGTTCACGACCAGCAACTCTGCTGGCTCGGACCCGAGCCTGACCCTTGCATCGGATTCTCCTTTTACTGTCTTTTTCTCCACTGTCCAGTAGCTTTTCCTAGGGGACTCGGAGTTTGCTCTCCGAGTCACCAAATCGGACATCACAAACGAATTATCGGCGCCGTCGATGTCTAAATCGAGGTGGTACGTGACGAAGTGGTCGTGGTTGTCGGCCAGCGTGTTTTCCGCGACCAAGGTCCCGTAAACGTCCGCTTGGATCTGTTGAGCGTTGGCGTAGGGCACTGCCCTCAACTGGAGGACGCCTGAGAGACTAACCTGCAGCATGCACCAACCAGCATGCATCCATGCATGGTAAAAAGGGTAAATTACCTTTGGGAGATAAAAGATTTCCATGAAATACAATGAGAGTTGTATTGACAGGATCGGAGATGAGGTTTAATTTACCCCCATTTTAATGGAACCGCTTTGTTTGAACTCCCAATCAAGGGTATAGTCGTAATTTCCAACGGTTGCCACCATTCTTACCACTAGGTTGACCTCTTCTTGCCCACTAGTCACCTACAAAAAAACACAACATATTTATCTCTGGTCAACATAGAAATACTATCTCTCTTATACTAGTTAATGTCTTTTTATAAACTACGGAGTATGCAACGTTTAAGATTTTTATGATAATGAGTTATTCAAGATAACAATACTACAATAGTTTTTTATGTTTACATTTTTATTTAAAACAAATAATATTGATTTTTTTGAATTACTTTGCAAGTTCATAAAATCAATACATTACACAAACATTATACGGAGTATTACTCTTTTCTAAATAGTTACTCCGTATGAGTTTTTATAATGCACACATTAATCACTTTCTTTAATTAGTAAAACTTTAATTACTTTCTTAACTTATTTTCGTTACTCATTTGATAAAATAACATACACATGTCACATTTTATTTTGTATTCCCTCAATCCCATAAACATTCATTTTCCTTTCTTTTTTACTTTGTTCCTCAAAGTCCTTATTATTTGTATTAAAAAATTCTTACCGTATTTGTCACATTATATCTTTTTATTAATAAATTATTCATCACATCCAACTTTTAGTCTGAAAAATTTTGGAAAATCCCGCCCGACCAAGTGTACAGAGACGCGCTATCTTTTTTATGAAATTCCGATCATATCAAAATTCAAAATGTACTTTATTTATTCAACGTTTGTGATATTTAACCCAAAGAGAGAAAAAGTGAAAGAAAGTTAAAAGGATAATTACCAGTCTCCCGAGGACTCCGGGGTTTGTATGTCTCCAAGAAACCTGTCCCGTTGAACGTTCAAACACACAAATGGCGTTTGACACCAGCACCGCCTGCCCATCCGCTCCGGCCATATTTCCGTCAATGTAAGCGGCGTCAGCCGGGCAGTCAAACGACGGAACAAGAGAGCTGGCCGAGACCCCAAACCCATACTCCCCCACATCCATATACGTCTTATAATACTCCTCCGCCGTGGGGTCCATGTACGGCACGAACGTCTCCGCCACATAGCCTCTGTACAGCACGCGCCGCCTCGGGCCCTGTTTCGCTCGGTCGGAGATGGACGCCGTCGATATCACCACGCCGGCACGCGCGTTGAAGGCCACGTGGAATTCCCAGTTCTTCCACCTCACCACGTTCCCGTTCAAGTCAACGTTCGATTTGGTCCCGTTGACTGCCTCCCCCGGTGAATCTTGCGCGTTTGATGATTCGAAGTCCGTGTTTTCCGCCGTCGGCAACGGGAGTTGTCCTCGGTCCGCGTAGTCAACCATTTGCATTGTCTCCACGTCGACTAACGCCGTTATACCGGCGATCGGCCTGCTCCAGAAATTTGCGGTACCCTCCCGGGAATAGCAGGAACTCTTTAGAACTCTTCTCCCTCTCTGCTCTCCAAACCAACCTATAAAATGAATTTAATTATATAAATGAAGAGCTTATTCTTATTGGGATAGTATCAAATTTATAAGAAATGGGTTAAAATATAAATATAATCGATCACGTCAAAACAAAATCGAGTGAAGTCAGAGGGATAAATTGAAGAGAACTAACTTCTTCTAGGAAACTTACAATATACTTCTTTCGTTCCAAAAAATTGTCTCTACTTGGAGTTTTATTGTCTTGCGAATATAAAGTGCTTCTATATAATTTATCTTTAAAATAGAAATTCTACATTTTTATTTCTAAAATAAAGTTTGCATTTTGACATTATGATACTATATATAATGACTTCCCATTGAATTTTTTGGTAATATATGTTAGCATTATTATTGACTTAATTTAGTCGTTTTCCCTATTCTTTTACTCTCTTTGGCTGGAAGTATTTGTCAGGTTTTGATTTTTTTTACAGTGAATCAGAATCAACCTTTGACTTGTAATTTAACAAAGAGTGTCTCTTATACTTCGCACTACCTCCGTCCTAGAGTATTTGTCAAGTTTTGGCTTTTTTCAGTCAATTATTTCCAACCTTTGACATATAATTAAATAATATATATATATATATAGTGTTTATTAATTACATAAAATAATATATTGAAAACATTTTATATAAAAAATCTAATGAAACTATATTTTTAATCAATATCTAATAATATTTTTATTTAATTTGGAGTCAAAGTTAACCAATTTTGAACGAAAAAAGTCAAAATAGACAAATACTCCATGACGGAGAGTATTATCTAAATAAAACCCCATTTAATTTTGAAACTATTTTACAAGATGAAATTAACTAATAAATAACATCTTATTGATATCTAATATCAACTTGTTTTAATTTATGATTAGAGTTTGTGAATTTTGACTACAAGAATTAAAACTAGACAAATACTCCGGAAAGGTAAAATAAAAAGACATGATGTTGATCAATACCTGCTGAGACTGGTATACAAGTGACTTGTGATATATTCAGCCCTCGGCTCAAAATAGATTCTTGAAA